TTTTAGTGAGAGAAAGAATTGGATCCCCTCCTCTATCCAATATCATCATATTTATAGAGGAGGATTTGTGACCTTCCCCTGTTCATCCATGGACAAAATGGGAAACCCGGAGGAAGGTCACTGTACATAATCAATTTACTATTCAATCAATGAATCTAGCAACTACAAGCCAAGACATGCACTGTTCAATCAAAGACTATAACATGGATATTCTCAATCCAATCAATCCTGCAAAACGCCAATCATTCCCTTCACTGTTTGCCTCGTGATGGATGAGCGGCGGGGTGTCCCCTAGCCTCTGATGTTGATTGCCCTTCTCAAGTAGCGCAACCTGACCGGTCACCTTTCCTCAAAGGTTACCCGGTCATTTCTTGAGTTCAACCCATCTCTTTGGTCCTCTGGAATATCCTTCGCAACTTTAAGTGACGAATTGGCTATCGCCCCAAATGTGACCGGTCACTTTTTTAGTGGAAGTGACCGGTCAATTTTTGACCCGTCCCAATCGAAGAGTTAACATCATTTGGTGACTTGATAAAAGTGACCGGTCATATTTTGACCTGTCCCTTTCGGTTATCCGGGTCGGGTATAAGGATATACCCATCACTTTCTATATAAATGTGGTGACTGATTATTTTATTTTAAACATTAAAAAAGAGTTTAATGTTTTTTTCAAATATTTTGTACAAAAAAAATTTTCTTGTATTTTATCCGGGCCGGGCGGCCCAATGGGCAGTCCGGCCCGCAAAGATGGGCGGGTATGGGTAAAGAATTTAGCCCATCAAATCCGGGCCGGGCCAGGCCCGCCCATGTAAATAGGCTAATAATTTATATCAAACCCGACCTAGATCCGGCCCGGATCCTTATTTGCACAGGTCTACTTTTAACGTTTACCGTCAAAAGGTTCTCATCTGGAGGGCTGACGTGTACTTGAAAGACTACTTATGAACTTTTGAAATTTGAAGGATCAATCGTGCACAACTCATAAAATTAAAAGATTATTAATGGATTTTTTAAAATTTGAAAAATCAATTATGCATAACTCATAAAATTGATGGACCAATAGTGATATTTAGCCTTAAATAAATTTATAAATAAACAAAAGTTATTCTAGAAGCAAGAGAAAAATATTCTAATCTATTTTTTCCATAGGGAGTAAGTTCTTTCTTCTCCTCTCAGTCGTTAGCATAATCGCCGACGATCGAACACTCCAAGCTCTGTCTTGATCACTGGTGTGATTCTTATTTGTTGTTTTCTTTATTGAAATCAGATTTACGGAAGCGATGGGTATGAATCCATGTAGTTTACAATTAAGCTGTTTTTTTAGTAATTGTTTTTTATGCCTAACTCATACTCTAATCCTATTCGTAGCAGATAAGAAATGCTCCATGAATACGAACCGCATGTCTATTGTACCTAATGAATGAGATTAACTCTGATCGAGAGGTAACTAAAGAGCTCCATGAGGTGCGATCTCTGGTTGTTACATTTCATACCAAGTTTTGATTTTTCGATTGGTGTTTTTAAGAAAGTGGTTGGACTTTATTTCTCTTTTTCTGCTTGAATTAGGAACTTACAAACATAAATCTTGTTAAGAAAGTGGTTGGGCTTCTAAATCTCTTAAAAGTTAAACAAATTTAATCACATGTTTTTGTTTCAATTGTTTGAATCATATTCCCATACGTCCGATGTGCTTTTATTCAAACAAGTTTGGGGTATTAACCTTTAATTTTCCATTAAAATTGTTCATTAATGAGAAATAGAACCCCATTGAGAATTATTTGTAAAAGTTCCCAATACACGATCCAAATTTATTTGTTTATTTCAGAAATTTTGAGAATCAAATTTTAGCATTCACAACAACACTTGCATTATCTACCTTTTCAATTTTCCATGAATCTAAAATGTGAAATAATTTTTTCACATTTTAGATTTTGCTTGCCACTTTTATGTCTATTTCAACCCAAGTCTCTTAAGAACTTGGAATTGAATAAAAATATTTCAATGTAGACTTTTTTTATCTAATGGTGATACTTAGATTATGACTACGTATTAAATGATACGCCTTTTTTTTACTATATGATTTTTGTGTGGTTACACAGCTACAACTTATCTGTGGAGTAAAAGGATGACACACAATTTCCAAGTTCCAGAAGGTAATCATGCTCTTTTTTGCAAATAAATGTGTGTGGGATGAAAAAACACTCTTAGAAAGAACACATGTATGAAGATATACGACTGGTACCACTACATTAAAGAACACAATTGTTTATAAAAAAGAATACACTTGTATGCAAGGAATGGACTCTTCATTTCTTTATATTTATAGGTCTCATTGTGCATGATTTTTTTACTCATGTTTTCATTGCTCTCGTATTTTTTTAATATTCAAAACACAAAAGTTAATAGTATCCCAAGAATTTTAACAAATATAAACATGTAGAACACAACATGACAGTAAAAAAGCTTCCAAGAAGATGAATGAACATTTAAAAATAGACCAGTTAGCATTAGCCACATGTAAGGAATCCCTTACAATAAAATACGAAGTATATTCATATGCTCATATATAATGTCTATTATCCATTTTGTATCCAGTATCCACGGGAAAAGTTCATCAAGTATTCAAGTTTGTTGATTTGCACTACACCTAGCCCTTTTTTAACATATACGGAGTACATTTTTTTCTATGTTTTTCTTACAGATGTCATAGTTAGTCCTGCAAAAATTTTAAAAATTCACTTGTTCAAGCCTTTGTTTAGTTTCTCCGTACAATTTCAAAAGGTCATTAAATACAACACAATCATTTAGTCCTTATTTTCAGAAAATAGAGAAGGGTTTTTTTTTATAAATGCAATACGTGAAGTCCCAATTTGTCATCATCTGCTCCTAATTTTTTTGCCAAGAGTGTCTCAGAATTCAGAAATTTTAGGGGCTTTCACTGGTGTTTTTCTTCATTAGTTGTAATTGTTTATTTAAATTCTTACTAGCAAAGAAAATAAAAGAAATAAATTATGTTAATTAGTGTTGTTAGCGCGTATAGCAAGAAACCCATGAATGAAAAAATACCACTAATACTTCAATTTCATTCAGAAATATCATGGTATTGATTTCCCTAAAACTATGTTTGTTTCAAAGAATTTGGAAGGAAAAAATGGTTTTGTCTCATTTTCCTCACCAAAATGGAAGGAATTTTTTTCTTTCTATAAGTAGTAGTACATTTTACCTTGCCATTTTCTTTTCCTTCTACTTTTCTTTTCTTTTCCTTTCTAACCGAACATGAAAAACTGTTTTCTAACCACTTTTCTTTTTCATTTCAAATTCCTTGAACCAATTCAAACGTAGTGTAAATTGAACCAAAAAAGTTGTATATTTTTGAGAATGTACCCCAAAACAACCTCAACCACGTGACACTGAACAATAAAAGCTCATTGGGTGTTGTTTCAGTGGCCGAGAGACAGAATCACAAGTGAAAGTAAGGATCGGTTCTCACCTTTGTGCCTAAAGTAGACAAGTTTCGTTATCTTGGCTCGGCCATTCAAGGCAGATGGGGAGTTGGACGGGGATGTTGCACTTCGAGTTGGAGCGGCCTAAGCTAAGTGGAGTTTGGCGTCAAGAGTTTTGTGCGATAAGAAGATTTTAACTAGGATGAAAGGTAAGTTCGTTCGGTACATAGTCAGACCAGCTATGTTATATGGTGCGGAATGTTGGCGGTTAAGAAAACCAATGTTAACCAAATTTATGTTGCAGAGATGCGGATGCTACGGTGGATGTGTGGGCAGAAGGGATTGGATAGGATTCGGAACGAGGTTATCAGAGGACGGGTAGGAATGGCACCTGTGGAAGATAAATTGCGAGAAGCTAGGTTGAGGTGTTTTGCACATGTGAGGCAGCGGAATGCCGTGCGGAGAAGCGAGAGACTTATGTGGGTTGGTGGAAGTAGGGGAAGGGGTAGACCTAAGAAGATTTGGAAGGATAGGACTTCGGACTTCTTGCCTTTACAGAGGATATAGCCTTAGATAGGAACGTTTGGAGAGCTAAGATAAGAGTGGTTGGGTAGGCGTTTTAGGCTAGGCTTTAGTTTATGTACTTATTGTGTGTTTTATATGCCTTGTATGTTCGATGCTCTCTACTAGTTTTTTTCATTCGTTCTCCTCATTTCGTTCTATGCCTCTATGTGTTTTATGCTTTCTCTGCGGTTTCTCTACTTTATATACCTCCTACGATCTTTTTTATCTTTGCAGCTTGAGCCAAGGATTTCTTTGGAAACAGCCTCTCTACCTTTTAGTAGGGGCAAGGTCTGCGTACGGCTACGCACACTCTCCCCAGACCCTACTCTCGTGGGACAAAACTGGCTTATTGTTATTGTTGGGGAATCTTTGGTGCATCAGATGATAATGAATGAAAAGTGACTCAACAAAAATAGACTCAACAAAAATAATGTCAGTTTTCCAGCATTTTGGTGGAGCTCGAGTGCTTCATTCCTTTAACAGAAGTCTTCATCACCTATCATCATCCAGGTTATTGTTGAATCATTTAAGTGTGTGTTCCAGGGTTCTTAATGTATGTATTGAAAATATTTGGGCTTTTACGATGTTTCATGGCTTATGGCTATGAATATAAGGAGTTCTCCATTTGGAAGAACATTTACAGCCTTTACAGATTATAAATACTCTAGGCTATTACAGTCAGTTGGGTGCATTCCATTTGGAGCTCATAAGATCTCCAAGTGTGCCATTCCAAAAGTTGTAGTTCAATTTTAAAAAATGTTACTAATATCATTTTTTCATTTTATGCTCAATCTTAAATAAATATAAAACTATTGATGCTAAAAACAAATTGTTATACGGAGTACATTATTATATGGATGCCGTAATAGTAAATCAATGCTCTATTGTGCAATTATTTTAACTAACACATATTTTTCTCTCACAGTTCTTACTTCTCCAGTCTCCACTGCTCCAAACTCAGCCCGAATGCTTATCGGAAAGTACCATATTTTGGATGTGGCAGCTTGGTGTCAATGCATGAATTCAGATCACTATCTGATGCCAATATTCTATTCTCCAATTTGGGAAGGCGTAGTATTGCACCATCTTGTTCATTGTGGAACCTTTGGCACCAATATGCAACTACAGCAACTTCAACAGAGAAGAAATCAAAGAAGATGCTATATTACTTAACGGGGTTGGTTTTTGGGATGGTTGGTTTGAGTTATGCTGCAGTTCCTTTGTACAGGAGGTTCTGCCAAGCTACAGGCTATGGAGGTACAGTTACTCGCAAGGAGGTAAAATTGAATGCACCGAAGCAACATAAATAGAAGTTCACCATTTTCTCTTTACATGATGTTAATGTTTTCTGCTCTGCAGAGTGTTGAAGAAAAGATTGCTCGACATGCCAAAGATGGAACTGTTAGTACTAGGTATTGGATTTATGTTTCTAGTACGAGTATGTGGGAACTTTATTAGATCTCAGTAAGGGTGTCCTCGGTTCTCTTAAGTCCTTTAAATTTTGAGAAATGCAAACCAAAAATAAAAATTTAAGTTGCTTTTATTCTGCTTCAGTTTGGTCATTTTAGTTGGGTTTTGTCAGTTTCGTTTGGTTTTGGACAATTGGACCTTGTGTGGTTTTAAGTCACGTTTCAAAGATCAAAACAGATCGCCTATGGCGAGATTGGTTTCAATGGGTTCCACTTTGGTCAGTCTCAAAGCCTAAACCTCAAATGGCGAACACATACGGAGTATTTAGTAATCTCCATTTTGGTCACTTTTGTCAGTTTTTGATCCATTTTGATTTGGCAGTCTTTTATTCCCTAGATCTCACAAACATCGTTTACTTCATATTTTTCTGCATGCACCTAAATATTAGGACTGAGTATGGAAGATCATTCACGTTCATAATATCAATTATTGAATAGTGTAGCATATTCTCATCCAGCACTTACCAAATGTTCTGTGTTTAATCGCAATGAATTTAAGTTTCTATTTTATTCCGATGCATAGTTTTGCTCTAATTCTGCCAGGGAGGTGGTTGTACAATTTAATGCTGATGTGGCTGATGGAATGCCTTGGAAGTTTACTCCTACTCAACGAGAGGTGCCCTTCTCGATGCTTGCATTCTTTGCGTGTTTTCTATGTTTGGACAGAATGTATGATTTGTTACATGGAAATGTTTTTTTTTTTTTTTGCTTCACCTGCAGGTAAGGGTAAAGCCAGGAGAGAGTGCCCTTGCTTTTTACACTGCTGAAAATAAAAGCTCAACTCCAATAACTGGTGTGTCGACATATAATGTTACTCCAATGAAGGTATAGTACCTAAATAAGCTGTTTACGACATGGTCCTCAAAATTTTTCATCACGCATTTACCCCTTCTGTGGCTGGAAGGGAACTAAGAGTGAGTAATAGTAAGAAAAATGCGATTTGACGATGTAGGTGCTTGTTTTTTTATATAACACTAAAGTATCAATAATATAATAAAGCCAAATTTTACCACTCCAAAATCCCCATACTAAACAAGGCCTCATTTGGAAGTTTGTGAATGTCAACATTTGATTGTCTGGCTTTTAGAGTATCTTGTAAAAGCTTTAAAATGATAAAAGCTGGTAGTAGTTTCCCACTTTCCCCTTCCATAGTTACCATTAAATAGTACTTGATTTTGTTACTCTGTTTGGGCTACCTTGTTTGATCTCTGATGAAGGGTAGGGGTGGGACTAGTTTCTCTGGCCTATTAAGGTTATTTATTTTTGTTATCCAGCTTCGTGATAGGCTTCAGACATAGCCAGGCAGGCCGGAAAATAAGCCTTTAACAAATGTTATGCCACGCTTGGGCATAATAAAATTGATACAAGCCTGGCTGTTCCCATCCATAGTGAAAGGAAATGTTTTTTATGGAAAAGGAAATGGATGTTCATGTTCATGCTAGCAATTGAAGCATGTGTGTGTCTGGCTCTCATAGATTAGAGGATGATGGTTTTCATTATTCTGATGTTTAAGTTATTATCTACGATATGATATCTCACAGTCTGACCCATATCTTTGATTTTTGTAATGAGGTTGTTCATGTTCTTGCTGATCACAAGCCCTGTGATCTGAATTTCTGGTTTCAGTCTGATGATAGTCCAGATTCTGTCTTTGGTCTTTGATCTGGCGCTTTAAAGACATTTGTTATCGAGCAAATTTGGAATGAATATATGCCCTCTTTGATAAAAAAAGAAAAGAAAAATATCTACATGAAGGATAAATTTGTCATTATATGGAGATTCAACTTCTCTTTATTTCTTTAATCATGGATCTTTCAACTGAAACACAATAAAAATCTTGTCATTTCTCTCATTCCTTCATATTGCTCTCATCCATCCAACCAAACAAAGCCCCAAGTTTGGTTAGGATCTTCTTTTTCTGCTTCAGTAGTGGGTTTGCTGCAACCATATAACCAAATCAAATGCTAGCCAGATTTACCATCTTTTCTTTTTTCAGGCTGCAGTGTATTTCAATAAAGTACAGTGCTTTTGCTTTGAGGAGCAACGACTACTTCCTGGGGAGCAAATTGACATGCCCGTAATTAGCACTCTACTCTCATTATAACCAATTTATTACTTGATAAACTCCTTGTTAATAGATAGTCACACACATGCTTGTGTATGATCTTAGATAGGAACATCTGGATATTTATAGTTAGAGTTACTAGGTAGACCTTTGGGCTTTAGTCTATAATTTATGATTGTTTGCTTTGTCTTAGTCGGTACTTTGTGTATGTTTGCTTCCTGTGCTTTGGATCTAGTTGTTAGTATTGGTATGCGTGCACTTTGTGTTTGTACTCTAACTTTGTTCGTGTTTATGTGTTTACTTTCTTTGTACTCTTGTATTTGAGCCGGGGCCCGGGGGTATCTTGGAAACTCGCTCTTTACTCTCAAGTAGGGGTATGACCTGCGGGGTACACACATGACACCCTGAACCCCTACTTTTCATTGGATTTTATTTGGTTTGTTATTGTAAAATATGTATATGCAGGTATTCTTTTACATCGACCCCAAGTTCGAAACAGATCCCAAGATGGATGGCATCAACAACTTGATCCTTTCGTATACATTCTTCAAGGTTTCCGATGAATAGCACTTCTTCTTGGGTGGGTAACTTACAACAACTTGAACAACAAAACCCACTGTAAACCAAATTCCGCGGGGAGAGAGACTGTTTTGTTTATAGAGTATATCCCCTTGATTTAGTCCATTGATTATTCGGAACAAAAAAATTGTATTGCATGATTCACCTCCTGTTTCATGCATGTTTAGAGTGCACTTCCATGGCATGTTTCATAAATTTGAACCTATCAAAAAACCTTCCTCTTTAGTTCCATCATGTAAGCTTTAGAGTGCGCAAGTTCTCATCAGGGCCTTTACACTATGTTTGGTTCAAAGATTTTAAAAAGAAAAGAAAAGAAAATGATTTTCTCTCATTTCCTCACCAAAATGAGAGGAATTTGGGTTTCCCTCCACTTAGGTAGTGTTCCGTTCAACTTATTTTTCTGCTTATACTTATTCTTATTATAATAAGATCAGACCAGATCAGATTAGATCAGAAACAGTTCTAATTGTAACTTTAATCAGATCAGATCCTCAAAAAATTTGATTAGATCAGGCGAACAGAACGCAACCTTAGTACATTTGTCTTCTCATTTTTTTTTCCATAGCCCTTTTCCTCTCCAATCAAACTTGAAAAATTGTTTTCCACTTCATTTTCTTTTCTTTTCACTTTCAAATTTCTTGAACCAAACATAGTGTTGAAGTAACTTAAATCGGTTACATCTGTGCATAATCTAAAACCTAATTTTTTTAGTAAATACTTTTTTGTTTCAATTTAAATTGTTTATTTCAATTTGTGATATTTGATTGAAGGTAAATTCTATAATAAACTTAAAGTTCACCATGAACCTACATATAAACAAAATAAGTATTTCTTTACTATTTAAATTAACATTTTTTTTTTTAGTTAAAAAAAGATGTTTTTATGTGAGAATGTCTGAAAAATTGATATGCACTCAAGGTGCACCAAAGAAGCAATCTTAATTGAAATTATTTTCAGTATAATGAAAACTAGGGTGAAATAAAAAAATAAAATTTACATACTTATAACTTACATCAAAATTTTATGAAACAATATATGAAATTGATGGTGTAAATTACCTAACCGGGTAAACTATTCTAGACTGGGTCTAGGATTGTTTACTTGATTCGAAAAGTAAAAAGATAAAGACACACAAATATGACCGGGAGGACTTTAGGTGGAAACACCTGTAGCCCAATTAATATTATGACAGAGAATGCACGGGCGCTTTTACAAGGGAGTTTAGAGAGAATGAATTCGGATCCCTCCTTCTAAGGATTACAGCAGTATTTATACTAGGCTAGAAGGGGACAAGGCGTCATGCACCCACGTTGAGGCACGTTGCTGGGATGGCGCAAGGTGATTGGCTTCGTCCTTTAGCTGCCTTGTTGCCTAGTGAGGAAGGTTGCCCTCTTGTCCTGTAGTACTTTGGATGGATGGCTCAAGCATCTCTAGCGATCCTCCACTGATCTTGGTCGCTACGATCCAAACCACTTTGGATTCTTCTCTGCCGACGTTCTCCAACCCTGGAAACTACACCGGGTAATTTCTGAGGGATGAGTTTAGCTGAGATTGAAGGATGAATTAGATGCTGAAGTAATTTGACCGGTATACTATCCGAAGTGTACCGGTCAAAGTTTTGGTCAATCAATCCTCCTCTTACTGACGATTAAGGCTTCCCTTTCCAGTTCGGTCCACTTGACCGGTCAACTTATTTAGTCCTCTCCTTTGACCGGTCCTGGGTGGAATACACCCATCAGAAATTGTTATTATTTTATCAATTGATCTTCCCATAATGCCCCCATAACCTAATGTAATATTCTCCTAGCATCCTATCGTTGGTAAAAATTATATGTTTTCTAATATATTTATTTTCCTATTTATATATATTCGTGTTATATATTCGTGTTAATTTTTTTATTTAATTAAATACTTTTTAAAGGTTCGGAGCAAACGAAGGATGCAATGTGGGATCGTATTGAGGAGAAGTTCTTTGCGGCGATGAACAAGGAAGCCTCGTACTGTACCTGGGACCAACTCACTTCCAAATGGGGCCACATCAACCGTAAAGTCCCCGTCCGAAAGTTTATCGAAGTTTACTTGGTCTCGGAAGAGCGGGACGAACGACATCGATGTTCTTCGACGTGCCACGGCCTGGTATCAAAACGACAGGCACCAAGGCAAGGTGCTCATTGATCTTTGAAGAATTTTAAGCCATTCACCGAAATGACAATACTCAGCAATCCCGACCCCGGATCCTCAAAGAAAAGATCCTCCGTGGACATCGAGGTTGAGGTCGATGGCACTATCGGTTCGTCTGAACAAAGGTCTCCCTTCAACGTTGACGAGAACCCCGTTCTAGGCCGATCGGAAGAAAGAAGACAAAATCCATTGCCTCGGGCAATGGTTAAACAATTTCGGGTGTTCAATATCCATACTTTATTTAAAAAGACATGGAGTCAACCTTTGTTTTTCCCGCCCATGCGTTATTACATTAACAAATGGCAATTGTTCACTAAAAATGGTAAGTTTCCGAAAATATAATAATAAATATTAAAAACTTATGTCTATGCTTAATTTCCCATGCATTATTACATCTACAAAAATGGCAATTATTCACTTAAAATGGTACTCCGTAATTTTTATTACATTAACAAATGGGAATTGTTCACTTAAAATGGTAAGTTACCAAAAATATACTCCCTCCGTCCCCCTAAGATGTTCTCATTTTGACTTTTGGTGGTTTTTAAGGAGAGTTGAAAAAACGTGAAAGTTTACCATAATACCCTTAATGAAAAATGGGTGGAGTGTATTAAATGAGGTGGGTGAGGTGTAATAAATAAAGTAAGTGTGGGTAGTTGTGGTATTTTAATTGTTAAAAAATGAAATGAGAAGATCTATTGTGGACATAGAAAAAGGGCTATTGAGAAGATATATGGGGGACGGAGGGAGTAATAATTATTATTAAAAACTTGCGCTTGTGCTTATTTTTCCATGCGTTATTACATTTACAAATGGCAAGTTAATTATTATGAAGTTAAAATTATTATTAGGTTTTACACACAATGCCTTGAAAAAATGTGAAATTATAAATCTAAAAAATATTTATTACGTAATATTAATAATCTTAAAAAATGGTTTAAAAGCTATAAATACAGTTCTTTTTTTATCACACTAAATTTATCAATTCGTATGAAGTGTACTAATTGTACAATTTCGTACGTTATTTTAACCTCTTTTTTTGTGTCGGGGCGTTCGGAATTTGTTCCTTTTTATCACACGGTATTTTAATGCCGTAGGTGTCATGTTTATACACCCAATTGGAAATAATTGCAAAAGGTAGGTTATACAATTATACACCCAATTTCGCAAAAAAAAAAAACTAATTGGAAATAATTAAAAAAGGTAAGTTATACACATATACACCCAATTTCACATAAAAGATAATTGGAAATAATTAAAAAAGGTAAGTCCCAATTTCCTTTTGAATACGAACAGTTTTATCTCTGATTTTTAAAATTTACTTTTTAAAAGCGAGCGTGATATTATTAATCTAAAAAAATTATTGTTATTAATCTAAAAAAAATGGTTTAAAAGCTATAATAAATACGCTTCCTTTTTTATCACACGGTAATAATCAGTTTTAACACGTAATCATTTTAAAAAATGAACAAATAATATGACACCGCTTATAATTGGTAATTAATTTTTAAAAGGAACAAATAATATGACACCGTTTATAATTGGTAATTAATCCATACTTTATTTAAAAAGACATGTAGTCAACATATGGTTTTCCCGCCCAAAGAGTATGACAATTGCAAATGACAATTGTTAAGTTAAAATGGTAAGTGGTCGAAATTATAGCAATAATTATTATAATTATAATAATTATAATAATTAAAGAAAGGTAAGTTAAAATGGCCAAAAGGGAAGTTAATAATTGCAGTGGCCAAAATTATAGTAAGAATTATTATAATTATTATATTTATAATAATTATAAAATGGTTGAAAGGTAAGTTAATAACTTTGAGGTTAAAATGGTGAGTGGCTGAAATATTGAAATTCTAATTATTAGAAAAAAGGTATAAATATAATAATTAACATACTAAAAATTGGAAATAATTAAAAAAGGTAAGTTAATAATTGTAGTGGCCGAAATTGTAGTAATAATTATTATAATATTATATTTATAATAATTACAAAATGGCCAAAAGATAAGTTAATAATTGTGAAGTTAAAATGGTAAGTGGCCGAAATTGTGAAGTTATAATTATTCAAAAAGGTATAAATATAATAATTAACGTATTGAAAATTGGAAATAATTAAAAAAGGTAAGTTAATAATTGTAGTGGCCGAAATTGTAGTAATAATTATTATAATTATTATATTTATAATAATTATAAAATGGCCGAAAGGTATGTAAATAATTTTGATGTTAAAATGGTAAGTGGCCGAAATTGTGGATTTATAATTATTAAAAAAAGGTATAAATATAATAATAGCTATTATTTTTATAATAATTAATTAACGTATTGTAAGCTATTATTATTTTATAATAATAACGTATTGTAGCTATTATTATTTTTATAAATATAATAATAGCTATTATTTTTAATTAATTAATTAAAAAAAGGTATAAATATAATAATAGCTATTATTTTTATAATAACTAATTAATTAATTAGTTAACCCTTCTTATTATAATTATAATTATAATAGCCTATAGCTTATTACAATTAAATAATATACTATAAATATTCCCACAAATTGTACAATAATGTAATCTATAAAGAAGACTTTCGAAATTTGTAAAACAGTGATGTTTTTTACCTTAAACTAATATAATCTCTATATTTTGTTGCATCTCATTTTTATCATTGAAAAATGATTTGAATTTAATAACATAAAAATGACCCGTGCAACGCACGGGTGTGATACTAGTTAGAGAAGAAGAGAGGACGAGAAGAAAGTAAGATAAGGAAGAGGTCGAAATAATGGAAACCAATCTTGATACGTTATCGGGTTTGAAACGTATAATCTTCGAGAGAAGATAAAAAGAGATCAAGGCTAAATATAATATATCTTAGTTTTTTATTAATGTATTTTTTTAATTATTGTCGCTTTATTTTTTTAATTTAATGAATGTAATTTTTTTAAATTATTGTCGCTTTAGTTTTTTTAATTTAATGAATGTAATTTTTTTTGAATTATTCTCATTCCAATTTAATTAAATAATAAAATAAATAAATTT